ATATATATCTCTACCCATATTTACCTACAACATAATTTTCTTCATACTATACATATGCATATGTTGTGTTTTTTTTCGCATTCACACACACATGTGCATACGTATGCCACAAATATACATAAATCTTCAAGGCACTCCTGATGTATATTACATTCATATTTTACAAGTTCATGTTGTGCAGCGTTTGATGAACGGAGCATCCTGACGAGACGTAAAACACGTTCTTCTTACATGCTCAATTTTTTTTCTTTTTTCTTTTTTTTTTTTTTTAAAGCGATCTAACACCGTCTGCGTCTCTTACATGCCTTCACCTAGATCAAGAGTCATTGAATGTGCGATTCCATGGCACTTATATATTATTCGCGTAATCAATCACATCCTTCTATTCTCATTCGTGTTTCAACAGAAATACAAAACAGTCGAAATTTATTGGGACTACGCGTTATACGAACATTCGCAATCTCAACGCATTATTTTTGGATATTTCTGCGCTAATGTAAAATTGGCGAATTTTGAACTATGTTTGGAAATTCATAGTGCACAAATATCGAGAAATAATGCGAGAGACTCAAATCCATAGATATCTATATATCACATATATATATATATATATTTATATATATACATTATACATATATACATATATATTTCTATATATCATAGATACATCTATGTTCAACCATCCAAGTCTCACTATTGATAGGTGAAGGCACGTATGGGATTCAGTGTATCCGCGCATTTATACAGTAAAACATAACAATGATTCATACAGCTTACAGAAAGAAAAGAAGAGATGCATCTTCTTCTGTCTTTTTTTTTTTTTTTTTGTTTTTCTTTTTACTCTGCTTGCAGTAACATCATCATTATTATTGTGTAACTACGTTTTACAGTTTTCTACGTACAATGCCAAGATTTTTTTTTTTCTCGTAGAAGAGTATATTCAATTTTAAAGCAAGTTTGTTAAAAGCGGATTATCTTTTAGCATTGCATGCTTCCCGATTAATTTTTTTTGTTTTTTGTGAAACGTCATAAAGGACACATGCATGGTCTCATTATTATTGTTTTTTTTTTTTATACCCGTTTATACTTCGTTTCATGAGAGAATGAAAACTATCTATATATATATTTGATGGTGAAACGGAGAAAATTCTAAGTTGCGTAAATGCTGCAGTAGATATTAAAAAGTGATAAATGTGTTTAAAAAAATTACGGAAATTACTCGTTCAAGAAAAAAATTTTTTTAAATAGAACGAACGTAACCAACATAGTTCTGGGCTGTATTTTCCACTTCACTTTTATATCGATAAAATATGTTACTAAATGCGTGTTTAATTAATGTAGTTACATATACTATAGAATCTTCAGAAATAAATGAATGCATTTACCGATAAAGTGAAGCAAAATACAAGGCTAATTATACTATGTCAAAAGACAAATTTTTATAACTCAAATCATTTACACTCATTATTACAATTCCAACCAATGATTTATCAGATTGTTTCAGTATTCACCAGATTTTAAATATTATTAATTTACATTTAACACTTTCCGCGAGACAAATTGTATTTTTGCAATAAACAATAAATGAAATCCACTCTTTCATGAAATAAAATTAAACTGCAATTACAACGCAATTAGCAATTGATACTGATAATTAAATTACATTTTGTAATCGTTAATTGTGGCGATTACACGCTATTGCGATTACGTTGTAATTACAGTGTAATAACTTGATTACAGTTTAATCGATTTAACACTCCACTCTGCGAATAGAATTACGCAGTGGACGGAGGCGTGTGTGTTTCGCTTCGCCTCGCTTCAATCTTTAATAAACACATTGATAACAAAAGAAAAATGGCGATCGGTGCACACACCTAACGAACTCGACCAGTACAAACGGGCAATAAATGGTGATGCTAAAACAAACACGAATAGCATATATGCAAGTCAAATAATGCAAATCTGAATATGTCAAAGCTGTGAAAGTCGAAAGTTTTTGTTTCCAAGTAAATGTAAAGAGATTTTATCTCGTATTTATTTTATATATTTATCGAAAATATAGATTGATGTATATATACCAAATATTGCCTACGTGTTTGCTGTCTCTGTGTCCATGTTACCTTTGGCTTCCCGCTTTAGTAAACAGCAAGTTTCACAAGCCTTCGTATTTCGTACTTAAATACAGTATGTTACAGAGAAACGCTTATCTATAAAGAATGCATGTACATCACCATCGCTTACCCCCTAGCAACATTTAGGATAATGTACACAAACAAGACATGTACAGGGTAATGGTTTTGATACACTGTCCGCCAGCATTTAAAACACCAATCTCAGTCGGTTTTCTGCTGATATAATTCCTTTAATGACTTGAGTTCGTCAATTAAAGTCTGATTTCTGTTTTCCAATACCGCGACACGATTTTCTAAGCACTTTATATATTCCTTCTTCTTTCTTCTGCATTCACGCGCCGCCTCTCTGCGCACATAAAAAAAAAAAAACAGAAAGAGAGATATATATATGTATATACATACATGAATATCCCACGGCACACGAGAATGTATTTTTATCGACACCTTTTCTATAGAATTTTTATCATATATCTTATGCATGTGTGGTAAATATTCATATTATCGCGCTCACCTGTTTTTAAGCAACCTCAATTCTCTCTTTCTCGCCGCATCCTCGACTACAACTCCGTGACCTGTATAAGCTGGAACATTGCGAGAGACTGCACTTTCCAAATTTTTAAATAGCATGTATCAAAAAAAGTCACGCGTGGTTTTGAACCACGATTTCCCAGCTTATTTAATCTTATACAATAAAAAAAAAGACAAAAAAAAAGTTATCATAGTCGTTAAAAATATATACATGTTTACAGTTTAGAGAACGCGTCCAATTGCCGTTTCTTTAAAAACAAAAAAAAGAAAGAAGAAAAAAAAAAAACAAACTAATGTACAATATACTAAAAACCAGAAATTGAGAGGTTTTTTCATTATTTTGGAAATGACGCAAAAGCACACCTGGGACAAAAAATTGAGTGTCCTGGCCCTGTGCATACTGCACTATAGCTCCACCCGCCGTCGCCGCATTGCTCATAGTTAATGTGTGAAGCCCCTGAACTCCCTCCCCTTGGGTCGCAATTTGAATAGTACCGGCAGGAATTACTGCAAAATAAGTTTATGTCGAGAATAATAACAAAGAAATTAATACGTTCTCAAATGAAAAATCAGTGATCTCTTGGTGCCGTAAACACATCGACGATGCACTGGAAATGAACAATGCATAAAAAAAAAAACAAAAAACAAAAAATTTTTTTATATGCAATCTTATATGCGTGTGATGCAAATGAATTTCAAGTATCTTGCTCGAAAAACGATCTTTTGAGATTTCTCTTTTTTTGTTTTTTTTGTAATCCGAATATATGACGAACACTATATCGATATCATCCCATAAGCAAGAATGCCACACCAAGCGAGTATCGTGAGAAACGGACATACGTTAGGCAGTACACACAGGGATGGAAGACATTTGTACATGTGCGTGTGGATTATTTGATTTCGAAATTTTGTTTTTCCATTATTTGAAAAAACAAAAAAAAACAAACAAAAAACAAAACAAAAAAAAGAATACTCCTCTATAACATCATCTTTTTCATTATGCGGAATAACATGAACTTATGGATAAACCTGTGGAATCTAATACAGCAAGGAACGACATGTGAGGATTTTTTTTTTTTTTTTTTTTTTTATTAAAAGGAAGATAAAGTAACCAACCTGTTTGGTAATGGAGCGAATGGGAAGACACTTCACTGTCCACGTTAGAATCACACTCGGAAGATGATTCTAAAGGTGGCAAACGACCGTCTGCAACACCGAATCAACCCCAACCCCCCATAATTAGATTTGTAATCGTTAATGTTTGTGTGTGTATGTGTGTGTTTCTGTGTACACGCATCGCTCTATATACAAAAAAATATAAATTTTTTTTCTTTTCTCGTTTTTTTAAATGTTTCTTATTAAATAGAATTTTGACTCGATAAATATAATTGTACTTTTACATAATTGCGAGTATTTGCATCCAGAAAGTGTTTAGTTTAGTCGTAAGAGAATAAAATAAATAAAAGAACAAAAGAGATTTTCATTTGTTATATATATATTCACATTTTAAAATTAAAACTATTTCCTTTCTGGCTGCTGATTTTATGGAATTACATATTTATGACGCGTGCAGTCAGCTCATACAAAAAAGGAAATAGAAAATATTTTGAGAAACATCTAAGTTGAAGAATAATTTAACTAAAAAATAGGAAGCACAATTTAAATTTTTTTCAAATATAAAGTAATCAATTTACGTTAGAAGAAAAATCTCAAAATTATCTCGACGTGTAAACTAACGCGAAGTGTAATTCTATGAAAATAATGATCTGTAATTATTTGATGTTTTTTTCTAAAAAAAAAATCACAAATGAACTGTGACAAAAATCATACAAAATGTCAAAACTACGACGAATCATGTATAAATTAATGTATAATCTTGCTTTCTAATATACTCTGTGCAAAATATCGAAAAACATCAAATAGAAAAAATTGATTTTGACAATCAATATATTGAATTCTTACACGGTTCGTATAGTCACGGTTAATATTTGATATATGTTTTTCCGCAGTGCATCTCGGTGGACATGAATGTGTTCGCTGATGGTATAAGTATTCGGAAGTCAGTTTTACCGAATTAAATAGGCAGTCTTGGACTTGTTTATCTGATTTTTTTTTTTTTTTATTGTCAATAGAAGATTTTTATATATATTGTTTTCAAATATAAACTCTTCTCGTTGTTCAATATAAATTTTGTTTAAGATAATGATCAGAGGAGCAATTTTTGCACTTGTAAATTCCTCTAAAAATCTCATAATTTCGCGCTTGGTTTTTGAAAATCCAAATAGTATCCTCTTTTCGCGCAATACTTCGTATAGAGCAAGCTTGGTATGGCATACTTCTCTTATCATATGCAACGCAAAGCATACAAACGGTATCATACCTTTGTCTGTCCACGCGTTCAAATTATACTTTGGAAGAGCTTCTATTACTTGCAAATCTAAGCAAAGTGTTAAAGAGCTTTAGCGAATAGATCGAGTGCGTATTAAATCATTCTTAAAAAGAAAAACACAATTTCTATCATTTTTAATTCAGAACACTAAATCAATATATTCATAATCAAATTAATCGACTCTTGCAATTGACTTTTCTTGGGCTCATTCTTTCTTAAGTTTTAGCCGTCAACCTTGAGAGTCTTGTTTTTGTCTTTATTTAATTAGAATATATCGTTGATTTGTGTGTATGAACTGACATGCACTTAAACGTCACATGACTAAGCAGAATATACGCGAATGCAATTATTTATCTTTGATATATCTTGTTACAAGTAACGTTCGCAAAACGTTTAATCGTTAGGCTGATTACGCGGACAACGTAATTTATGATGATATCGCGCAATCTCTATGATATCTTTGATACTTCTCTATCGCTGATTTATTTTAACAGCAAAATTAAACCGAAATTCTTTGTTGTGCAAAATGTAAGCTTGTTTAAAAAAAAAAGCACAATTGTTCTGAAGAACATTATCTTACCTGTGATCTCTCCTCCGCCTAAGTCGTTGAGGATCTTTCTATACGAAGGTCGTCTGGTAAGAATATTTCTCTTTTTAGGTGAATCCTCGTCTGAGAAACTGTCATCACTCGCAGTTTCAACCACCTGAACACAACAGAACAGAATTGTTCAACTTAAATCGCTTAAGAGTTCGTTTTTTTTTGTCACACTCCTCGTCTCTTCAAAAAAATCAGTTTTTGTGCACGTATCAATGTTTAAATCTACCTCTATAATATATGTTTAACACGAATATATATATATATATTGATACCGCTGCTCGGATAAATGTATCTTTGAGGCAAACCTGCAAAGAACCGTTTATAAATTTATGACAAATCTTACCTGAAGAGTTTGTAAACTGCCTTGTGCAGTTTGTATAACGGAATTAGGTTTGCTGACGAGAATAACGTTTCCTTTGGAAATGGCAACAGGTTGTATGTTCGTTGCAGTTTGTATTACAGATTGTTGATTGGGTTGTATAACCGATTGTACCTGCGTAAGGGTCATCCAGATATCAAGTACTACAGAAGGTTAAATCACAAGCTGTGTCGCTTAAAACTATATAGTCGTAGATATACATATATACATATGTGAGAGATAAATTTCTTATATAAAAAAGACAGAAAAACACATAATATCACATAAAATGATATATCCATTAATAAACGTATCCTATAAAGAGAAAAAGAAATAGCAAATTGTGTATAATATTCCGCTATAAAACAATTGGAACTCTTATGTGCTCGAAAACTTTGTCTAATGTGTATGTACAATGTATATCTTTAGCGATATTATATATTTGTAGAATAAAAAATATTATTTTCTTAATTAATATCCTACAAACTATAACTGAAACTGTGTCTGAATAATGTACTGCAATAAGATCTTATGGAAATTTTGTATTCCTAAGATAGATAACCAGCATTATGCAAGATCTAAAATTACTAGTCGAAATAATCAATCATAGAACAAATAAGTGATGACATGCAATATGCATGCTTCCAAATAAGAAGAAAGCACAAATTATCAGACATACATAGATACACAGGAGAGGCTCCTGTATACCTGTGTTGTTCCTGACGAAGGTAGTGTCAGTTGCACAATGCTGGTGGAAGCTACCAGATGATGTGTTTGCTGCTGATGGGTTCTATCGATAGATTGTACCGAGGTTGCGATTGCTGGTGCAGCATCACCACTTTGAGAACTCTGGGACAACGGATCGACACTTGATCCATTTTCCTCGACCATACTTTCCATATCCTCGCTACCTGGCGAGTTCTGCAACACACAAAACATATACTGTACCATTTTATGCCTGGCATGTATATACAATTGAAAGCAAAATATCTTAATTGTATTTAATTCAACTGTGAGAAATTGCTGCGATAATGTGGATGGATATCTCACTGATGACTAAGCTTGAAAAAAAAAAAAAATGTTAAATGTTACTCTTGTTTTCTAAGTATATATATATTTCTCTTATATTTTATAAATATATATATGGACACTACTGACATTTCACACCTGATTAAACGTTCTATAGCTTGATTCCGTCTCACCGACATAGAAATCAATGAGAAAATTGCTTGTCAATTTAAAATTGACGTTAAGTAAATCAACACGATATATCCAACTACATTGTCGCTAATTGAAAATACATAAATAACTGAATAATTAAACAGTTATGAGTTATTTTACACTTTTTTGATTGGATTACAGGAGTCTCCGAGAACTGAAGAATTTCTGTTTAAATATCCGCGTTCTCAATCGGACACGGAAAAAACTTGACAACGTAAACATTCACACGGGTCTCTTGCACAACGGAAAAGTTTTGCCAAAGTCATTTCTCCGGATAAGAAAAGAAAAGAAAAAAAAAAGCGTAAGCGCGCTCGTGCCCCCGTTCAAACTTCCCGCCAACGGAGAAGTCCGACGATACTGCGTCATTTACATAAGCGGATTCTAAAAATAATACGGGAGAACAATAAACACTCTCGAGGTGCTTGCGGAGAGAGCGGCGGTGTGTAACACGCGCCCCCGAGACCCAGGATATAAAATCCGATGCGCGAAGAAAATCGCGCGACGCGATGTCAAAAACGTTTTGGTCCGGGAAGCGCGGTGCTCGTATCCGCGCGCGGATAACGCGGAAATCGTAACGAGCGCGAGCGGATTCGCGGCTTGTAACCCCTATATCGAGCCGCCGTGCGATCGAGAAATGCGGTTTCTCGTCGCGCGGCGCCATATTTCGCTCGCATCTCGTCGCGCAGCAGAACATAAAACACGAACGCACGTCGGCACGTACGGCGAAGAAAAACGGAAACGCGGATTAAGCGAGTATCGGATTTGCCCGTCGCGTGCGTGGAGCCGTACGTGAGCGCGAGCGCGCCGCTGGTCCATGCCCGGTTGTTATTATTCTCCAGCTGGGGTACTTACCAGTTACGTATTTCTCGTCACCAAGTTTGCTGCAATCGGAGTGGGCAGTCGGGCAGGTACGTAGCAGCCACGTCAAAACTCCAGTGGCTTCGTCACTGGTGGAGACCACGACCTCTGAGTTGCGCGTCACAATCAAGATGGCAGTCACTGTCGTGGCGCGGTCACTGTTTGTCGCTGCTGCTGCTACCGCTGCTGCTGCCGCTGCTGCTGCTGCTGCTGCCGGCTCTGTGATTCGTTTTTCCCTCGCCCTCCGACCCCTCATAATCTCTACGTCTTCTATGTTCTACGCGTAACATGTGTGCGAGATCGCGGCTTTCAATTAAAAAAAACTGATGATTCTTGTGTGTTTATTCCACACATTGCATCCGTCTTTAGTTGCCGCACTTCGTCATCTTTCGCCGAATTCTCTCTATCTCTCTCTCTCTTTCTTTCTCAATCTTCTTTCTCGTTCTCTCCTGTTCGTATCTTTGTCACTCTTGCGTACGTGGTTGTGTAAGTGTTTTTGTTAATATCTCTGAGATCGTATAATAAATTTGTTAAAAATTTAATTTTAAAAATGACGCGCTTCGAAATTGTCTGACAGAAAATTTATAGAACAGGATTTTTAAAAATTATTGATTACGTAATAAAGAAAGAGAAAATAAATCATGAGAGAGGAAGAGAGAGAGAGAAGTGTGGTAACACTTGATATTTTTATCTCTTTAACTTGCAACTTCTGTTTTTTTAAATGTATTTTGTAATAAAAAAGACTTACTGTCTAACTTTCTCTTATTATATATATTATATATATATATATATAATATATATTTGTGTGTTACTTGCAAATTTTTTGGATTTTGTTTTCTTTTTCTTAGCCAAGTATATATCTACTCTATTACAAGTGCAAAAGTCGCAAGAAGTACAAACAACACGTACAGACTTTGATATTCAGGTATTTAAATTTTTGTTTTAAAATACATAATCGCATATAATGTGTACATATATATAAGAGATGATTTATTGAAACATTACAATGCTTTTTAACAAATATTTCTTGTACTTTTTCAAACGTTTAGCTTGTGCAATTATGCATATTTATTATAAATACAAATAATAAAAAGTATAACATACAGATTGATTATAACACAACTTTGATCTCCTACACATTTATGATTTCAAATATATAATATACTTTTATTCTTTGATTCTTATATAATTTATATAGATGTGTCATGTTTATAAATATATACTTTCTTTTAATTTAACATTGCTATTAATAGCCTTTTCCATTCAGCAGCGCAATCATTCTGGAAAAAAAATAATATAGATACATTTGTTGAATGTATATGTTATATAAATATTTATAACATACATTATATATAATTATATAATACATATATATATATATATATATATATATATATAATGTATGTGTTATACAAATATTATATATAATTGCGTGCTGTATTGGATTATTATTGAAATTCATTATTATTGCGAATATGCTCTTAGTAACGAAAAATCTCTTCTCGAGTTCGAATTAATTTATTAGCGCGATCAGAAGCCGCTTAAAGTCGTCACTGCAGTCGTTCTGCAAATGTAAAGAAATGTGAACAAATTAAAGCTTAATATTAACTGAAAGCAAGTCATCAACATTCACATATATTTAGATATGATATATGTAACATAACTGATGTATACATGTGCGTATGTTACAAGTGTGCATGCAAAGATGAAAAATCAATAAAAAAGTAGAACAATAAAGGATACAATTTTGTATATCGATCAGTAATTTAATTTGTGTTAGAATACAAATTTCAAAAGAACCAGATCAATTTTTCACTCGATCGATTGTATATTTGTACACAAAGAAAGATCTAGATACACATTTTTATTACAGTATGTGTTATTTCACACACACAAACGAGTAATTCATTTCACATTATTGTAATACTGTAAGTGTCAAACGCGGGGTGAGTAATACAAAGTAATACCATATTCACCGTTAAAATCCAAACAAAATTATAAAAGGAACTTGCTAAACCAAGGCAATTGTGTACACATATAAAGAAAGTGTTATGTGATGTATATATATTATCCCTGAAATATTTTTCATCCAAGAAGTTTAAGCAACAGTTTCTTGTAGTCGCCAGAAGTGTCATCCTGAAATTTATGGAACGTTATATGGAATAAGTGAGATATAATATTTTTTTACATGAGTTAAACAAGCTATTGTTGTTATGTAGTTCGTTAGAACTGCGCAAAAGTGTAACCTTTATTGATCGCAAATTAATGTTAATCCGTCGCATACGTTAAAGCCCAAGAGATAGAAATTATAGAAATGCAATAGTTTTTATAGCTTCATTGTAAATAAAGCATTACTTCTGTCGGTTAAATATATAAATAAAGAAAAGATTTTTGCAGAACACTTATAAAAAGCGCAAAAAATATATCGATGCTCTCTTAATTTGTCGAAAAAAACTCAGCTTTATCAATTATTATGTTCTGTTTTTTGTTTTCTGACTTTGAAACAAAATACGACAAAGAGGAAGCGATTAAAAATTAAAAAAAAATAATTATCAATCTCTAGAACAAATAGCTTGATATAATACCACATTGCGTGAATTATAGAATTTACAAAAATTTTACTTACGTCGACAGCTTCCGCAAGAGATTTTCCGTAAAGTTTCTCGTAAGTTTCTTTGATATCACCCAGATCGATCTCGGATCGTGTCACAATTATGCGTATCAGAGTCGAATCATTCGTGCCCATTCCGCGCATGGCTTTGTACAATTTTTCCGCGAAGTAAGCAGTCTTGTCGCTAGCGCATTTCACTAAAAAAAAATCATAATTCATAATTTACATTGAAACAAATGAAGATCGAGAACTGCGGAGAGGAGAGAACTCTCTCTCCAAGATAATTTTTATCCTCCGAAGTCCCGATTATCTCAATGTACCAAAAAAATATATAATATCTATGATGTGTGACACTCTGCGTTTGTAAATAAATAAAAAAAAACATGATGTACTAATTATAGTACGTATAAGAATATACCAGTAGAAGAGATGATTATATACTATATTTAAATATACAATCACAATTCGTACCAATAGCTAAATAGCCGTCTTCAAGAGCGCCCGAGAATTCTCTCTTAATGGCGTCTTTAATCTCGTTTCCAGAGATTTTCTCGTATTCTTTGAAGATTCTTCGCAATTGCGGGAAGCTTCTGGTGATGAGGATAGAGTTGAAGACGCTCTCGTCCGTACCCCATTGTCCTTCACCCGCGGAATGAAGTTTCTCGGCGTCCTGAATCGCGGCTTCCTCATCAACATCGGTGTTTTCGTCTCTGTTAGCCTGATCGTTGACGAAGAAAGAAAATAAAATAAAAGTTGACAATAGATAGAGTTGAATCGCTTATCTCCTGTTTGGCTGGATATACTTACACAAGACAACGACACCAGAAGTCTCTTAAAATGACCGGAAGTGTCGCTCTTGAGATCGTCTTCCAGCTCGTTGCCGTACACTAAAGAAACAGATGATGAAATCGAATATTCTTTAAAAAGATATGACAAAAAATCCGATTCAAATGATAATATAAATTTAATATACGCAAAGTAATTTAAAATCGGTAAGATCTCAACAAACAAAGAAAACAAACAAAGTGCGAAGGAAGTATTGTCAGTAAGACAAAACTTTTACATTTTTAACAACGCGCGCACTGGTTGCGGTGTGGCGTAATAAAAAACAAAATCCAGCTTTTTTGCAAACAATGCAAAAATGAAGGAGATCGTTTCGAAACTTACGATCTTTGTAAACAGCCGATATCGTTCTGATAGCGTAATTGCTCAGAGACGCGAGGATCTCGATTAGCGCGCTCTCGTCGGTACCGATTCCGGAAATGGCCTCGTGCACCTCCATGGCGAAATATTGGGGCAGAGGTGTCATCAGGGCGATTATAGCTTTTTCGAAGTTACCGGACAGCTCCGATTTGAGAGAGGATAAGAGATCCTTGCCGTACATCGTCTTGAATTTTTCGGCAATCTCCAATCGTTGCACGATACCTCGATGAGCAAGAACGTCGATGATGGTCTGTTCGTCGGTGCCTATACCCTTCATAGCGGCTCGCAAGAGACTGGCATCTTCCTCGGCGTCAAAGGGATCGGCCGGATAAACGGTGGGTGTGCACTGTGCAGACATTTACGGATGAAATATTAGAGTTCGTTTTCATTGTCGCACACATTCGACACTCAAAATAATTATTTACGTTAAAAAGTTACAAACTTGTAGAATAAAATTTTTATTTATTTTATCAATACTTGTTTAAATCCTGTTTAATGTAAAACAAGATATTTTCAAAGTCGCTTAAAAAAGAATTCTTTTTTAATTTAATAGCTCAAAATGACAAGATTGTTTTAATATCAACTGAATGACTCAGATTTATCACAAAAATGTTTTTCTTCACTTATGATTCACGTTTACGGTTGTTTTTTTTTTACATTGTTACTGAGAAATTAACATATTTAATTACTCACCTGTACGACAACATATTTGTGACCAGCCATCTTTTTCCGGGTATCTGAAAACAATTTTTGACATGTATTGTTTTACAGAAATGTAGAAAAAAGAAGATTTTTGTTTATATTTATAAAGGTGTAACATATACACCTGACAGATAATTAATTAATTAGTTTTCGAATAAATTTTTGGAGTTTCACGAATTGTGATTACAACACATTCCGTTCAGACCTGTTTACACAATAGTAATTTTTATGTTCAATCTGAAATGACTAATGCATGAGTAAACAATGCAAATCCGACGGTGTCGTCCTTGACTCATTTGAGCTATACGTTACGTTAGCGACGATGATCTCATCTCTGGTAACGCGCTTGATCGGTCATTAAATAATCGAAAATGATCCCGCGACTCGTAAATTTTTCGGAGATAGCGACGAAGACGTTCTGTTTCGCAGGATCTTTGGAGCACCGCAGGATTATATTGATCGGACCGGCTTTAAAGTGACACTTTGGGGTGTGGCTTTTTGATTTACCTCGTTTGATGACGTTGCGGCTCTTTCCGGAGAACAACGTATCGGTTCTGGTAACCGACTAACGTTCGTTCTCTGTCGCTGGGAGCCAACGTCGACGAGAAGCAGCACGGAAGAGAGAAAGAGGAAAGGAATTTGTTGGTGGGGCGACACGTCATTCGTGTCTGCGAGAAGACGAAGTGTATCGGCGATCGTGAAACCGGTATTTTCGCGCAAGAACACTAGGAGGAATTATTTATTTGATCGGAATATCGGGGTACACCAAGTATAACGATTACGATGTGTATTTGCGATCCGCGCACCTTCGACGATTAATTTTGTTTTTACACGCGAAAATGTTTTACGCATCGCACAAATCATTGTTTGCTATTTATTGAAATCTCTGACAAATTAAATAATAATAATAATAAATCAAATTAAGTAAATTAAATTGTAACTTCAACCTATTTTTCTCGTACGCTTTTCTCTTGTTGACAAAGGTAATTAATTTTAATGATTTACAATTAATTATCTTTCCTGCAGTTTATCTCAATTTTATTTTTTTAGTGGCAGAATTATCTTACGATATAACACTTTTGTAGATGATAATGTTATTGAAGAAATCGATTTAATGAAGAGTAAAATCGACGCGGATTGTTCGACTCAGTAGCTCTCTAATGATCATGATTTTCAACATTGGAAATTATAAATAAAACACGAGTTAAAAACGTTTTATTGAAATTAAAAAGGTGTGACATGTGCGTGTTATCAATTATAACGTAATTCCCAAAGAGATACGGCGGAAGTACGACATATATTTTTGTTTTTCTCATGTAAGAAAAAAATTTTATTTTAACAGTGAGCTATTGTTCTAAGCGATCGTGTTGTACATGATACGTTGATGACATTTTAATCGACTTTATTTCGACAGAGTGAACTTTGATTACAAAAATATCAAATAATTACCGATAATGTAATGATTACTATGTCGATATCACGACTCGCGAATCGATCATGTGTGCGTGTGTTCAGAATAATTATTATGATTGAAAATGTTACAATCAAAAAGCGAAGTTATGAACTATTGAAGAAGAACTATATGATAGTTACATTTAATTGTGCAACAGACAATTTTTACACATATATGTAAATTTCGCTTTGTTGCAAACTACATGTGCGGTTGAATAAAACATATGTTTAGTATCTATAGGTTTTTAATTACTTATTAAATCGCGTGTTTATATCTTTGAAAATGCACAAATTCAATATGAAAAATCTTATATTAAAAAGAATTATATGTCACTGTCACATATATCTGCATATGTATATATATGTATGAGATATGTATATATTATATTATATTATATTATATATATATGATATATATAATATATATGTGTTTTAAACAATTATATTAATGTTACTCACTCGTTGATCTATATGCACGTATTAATTCCACTAGTTAGTTAGATAGTTCTACTAGTTAGATAGTTGGCACAAGACGCCGGTTACTCCTTGAATTGGTTCTTTGCTGCGTCGTACACGTACGTGAACACTTTGCTAACTGGAAAGCATTCCGACACAGCGGCGATATTAAGGACATCGTTGAAGAAGAAAGAAGTGGGGTTGGACGCATAGTGTGTGTCGAGTCATGACGCAACAGAGAATATCCTGTGCCGTGTTCCTGTGGTGAATCGAGAGATGGCGAAATCAATATAAGAACATTAAAAATATATATATAAAAGTTAAAACAAATAAACAATGTAGAAACTATTGATGAAAGTATTATATCTTAGCATACTGGAGGGGGGAGAGAATGTATATTATTAACTATATATGTTATTAGAATATATCATTAAATTATATGTTGCTATCGATATATTTATATACATTTTGCGTGTAATTTTAATTGAGACAAATAACGATAATGTAAAATGATATGTAATAGATATATGTTTCTTAGATTTCTCAGAAGTTACAAATGATTTAACACACAATTCATAACTCATTGAATGAGATCGTGATGTCTGTTGCAAGCATCTCATTTCTGCAACGGGGGCGTCATACACCGCATGATGTCATACACTCGCGTGAATCTCACCTGAAATTTATTCATTCAAGATCCAATGACACATTCGAGAGAAATGCAATGATTCTACCAACATAGCACTTATCTAAATGACTTTTAGTTTAGTGTATATCCGCTTTTATCAAAGCGGAATAAGTTTCCGGAGAATTTGATTTGAATTTTTATTCGATTTACGTCTTCGAATGTTGAGAAACAGCGTGTAAGAACTTAATATAAATATAAAACAATACTGAAGTATCGTATGTTAGAACATATATCGTTGTAAATATGTATGTAAAAAGTTACTTATGGATTTAAAAATCATAACTTACCTCATTGTTATCGCAACAGACCGTATATAGTTCTTCTATGTACGTACACTGATCAATCGATTGAGTTAATCCGGAATTAATAAAACTGGTCCGTAGTAGAAAAACAAAAAAATACATTCAGTGTGCTGTCTGAAAATGTTTTATTAAGAGTACATATGGCAAGCGAGGCTTCCGTTTTCCAATTCCTCAGATTGAAAATTCATCTCCTCAACAGTTGTTTTTTTTTTTTTTTCCTGATACATACATATATATATTTATATATTTATATACTGTCAGTACGATAAAAAGTGCATTTCTCTAGCACATTTTGCACTTGTCTCTTATCTAATTCTCTACTAAAAATTTGTCTCTAGGTTTATCACCTTCACCTCACTTTGACAGAATCGTTCAGACTCCTTGTGTGTGCGAATCGTTCCCATTACACATTGTCTCTGCACTATACAGTTTATAGTACAGCGAAGAATATTCGAGAGCTCAATCCTATGATCATTCGAAAAACCTGTGAATAATATCCTGATGATGCATTTCTTAGATTTTTTTTTGTTGAATATGATACATAGTCTCCTCTTAACAGTAAAACGTATATTCTCAACATATCGATAATTTATATATATATATATTTATAAGAATTTTTTTAGAAAATCAACACACACACATATATATATGTGTGTATATATATATATATATATATATGTGTGTACGTGCTACATGTACTAAAAAGTCCTCACACATCAAACACATCGAAACAAGATATGTTATTTAACAACTCAAAAAATTGTGCGTTACAAAGGACTCAACACATCACATTACACAACACATTCTTCAAATCATAACTTTTCTCTCTATGCTGTATAATCGAAATTAAATACATTGCTAAAGTTATAAATGTGCAGATCTTTTGTTTGTGTAGGTAACACTAATATAAATTTGTCATAGACGAGTTGAAAAAAACTGAATGAAAGAAATGTTCGAGAAAAACGCATGTTGTTTTCGCTAAATTATGCGACGTGTTCTTTGATATGTTTTATGTACCTAACTATTAAACATTTTTGCAGACGCAAGTAATACAACATACTTGTAACATCGGTAAAAATATCTCTAACGGCAATACCATTCGCAATAATACTAAGTAATAATATAATAATGATGTAATGAATATATTTATTAATAATAGATGTATAGAGAAGAGAAGGATGGGGGGGGGGAGGGGGAAGAAGGGAGAAAGAGAGAGAAAGATAGAAGAAAGGAAAACTTGAACGATAGTAATATTAGGATGAAAGAGCGACTTAAGAGTAGCATTAGGAGCAATCGCAATAGTAGTAGTAATAGTAGTAGCAGCAGTAGCAACGATATAATAGCGTAACACTTTCGGAAATAATAATACTTCGATTATTTGTAAGAGACAAAGAACGTAAGTGTAACACGTATATTCATATTTTTTTCTCAACGTAAAATTTCTGTACAAAAAAAAACTTACAAAAAACCATATAAATTCGCAGGCGAAACGCGGTGCGAAATTTATAAAACATTTTCTGCGATACAAGGCTCGATACAAGTGCACATATATTGATATTACTTAATTATAAATGCGCTCGTGTTTTTTTATGATTTGTGCAACCATTATTAGCTTCGGTATACATTATGAAAAATAAAAAGTATCTCTCTAAAAGTCGTGTACAGTAAAACGCCGATCATCCGAATGTCGATTCGAAAAAAAACTGAGAGCTGCAGAGAGTAAACAACTTATCTTAAATAGAGAATAGAAATAGAAATTTGTACAAACATACACAAAAAAAAATACTAGTAGAATTGTTTAGTAACAATGTTCGTAATTATAAATTAGATAAAATGAGACAAAAAAAAAGTATCATGATACAAAGAATAAGATTACGATAACTTCTTAAAATAAATAAATATTCTCTAGTAACAAGATTATATAGCTCTATTGATAAATATATAACATTGCTTTAAACCCTTCAGTACCTGTCACGCTGTATAAACAGTCAAAAACTTGATATACAAAGAGAATTGCACCGAAATTATAAACTTCAAAACTTAAAAGTACAGTTTGTTTTTTTTTTTTTTTTTTTTTACAGTCTAACATTTAAATGCGATTCTCCGATGTGACATAAAATTACTGGGGTCAATGACGAGTATTTACTTTGTAGTGACGAGTATTACTTTGTATGTCGCACGAGTACTGCAGGATTCAAACACAGAAATAAACATATATATACAAATGTGTTTCAGAATTCGCGTTTGCTCTCATATCGTCAAAATCCTCAGTCAATTCTGTTCTGAACCGCGGAGCTTCGCGATCGAGAGAGAAAACGCCCAAACGTTTTTCTAAAATATTTTCTACACACACACATATGTTTAGCACTGAAACGCAGTAGTTGTGAGAGACGAAAGGTGCAATTTTTTTATTTTTTTATTTTTTTAATATTAAACATGATGTGTTGGGGGGAAGCGGTATTTAGCGGTATTTTTTTTTTTCGGTTTGATATCTCTGCTGGAAGAATATCTTTGTTTTCTTTCTCACCTGATTTTCCTTTTCTCTTAAATCGATCACTCGTAGGAACGCTTTTGGTTTTTTGTTTTTTTTTTACGAAAACATCTCTCTCTCACAAACACGCTCTTAGGACAGTCGCCGTTCTACTGTATTTTTTTTTTTTTTGTTTTTATACATAATAATAGCATTTGCAATACGGCAAATTCTTCAACAACAAATGTGCGCTCCTTTTATAAAACTTTACAGAGTAGGACACCTATAAATCTTACCACCCGAAACTCTTTCCGCAATTAATACTAAAAGCATATATGAATAAAGGAAGCATATTTTGTAATGAAAATTTGAAGATATTTGTTATAGTCATTCTCTTGAAGCAGTGGTTCTTACAAACGACGATTTCACTCTTAGAGAAGATAGTTTTTTTTTTTTTTTTTTGTTTTCTGTTAGTTAATTCTCTACACACACTATGCAGACATCTTTAAAAATTGCGAAACTTTCATATTTGTCACACACATGTTTCTTACATCTAAAATTATTCTAGAATTAAAATCGTCTTCGTAGAAAAGTAAAAAAGTAAAATTAGTAAAAAAGTAAAAATATCATTATTTACTAGAAACATCACTGAATTAGATTCTAAAGTAGATTAGAAAAAGTAATTACAGATAAAGAAACTATAAAACGGATTATTAAATTTCATTCCTATGTATAAATTACTTGAAATTGATTTTTCTTATTGTCCACAATTTTTTTTTTTTTTTTTTCTATTTACATATACAAGCGCTCTACTCGTTTACTAGATTGTAAAAAAAAAAGTTACAAGATTTTGCATGTAACTTCTTATTCAAATAAATTGTATCATATAATAATTCAAATCAAAAATCACACGCATTTAGCTTGATTAGCTTTTTTGATTGAGCGACTCATTTAAGGAATCACGAAAGTAATAAAAAAAATTTTACCGATCGAGCACAATAGTACACCGATCTCTCTTGTCGTTCATTTTTAAAAAAAAGGAAACATTTCACCGTATCAGGAATTCGTATAAAGTTCTTCACCTGCTCGACCACTTTTTACTACAAATGTATAAAGTTTTTTTTTTTTTTTTTGACACCGATAATGTTTTTCTACACCCTGTATTATCCGTTAGGGAGATGCAGATGCGTTAGAAAAAATCAACCTGTCACACATCCCACAGTAGTAGTTTCAAGTTCTTGCATCAGAACTTAGCAGAAGTGACGCGTGAAAAAACCTCGAAAAAACTTTTCTAATTGGCGTAAAATATTTAAATTGATTTAAAATACATCCCCAAATGTTGCTCTCTCTCTCTCTCTCTCTTCTTTCTTATATATATTACTCTTATCGATAAATCTAATCAGCACACACGACGCGCTTTACGTCCGACGAAAGAAAGCGGGTGGTAAAGATAAAGTGTCCTATTCTGTGCAACAATAGCACAATTATGGCACGAAAGTTAATATAGCCTAAAAGAGAATTCTAAACAGAGTTCAAGTTGGTTCAAATATAAATACATGTTCAAGGGAGCCATAATTTTTTTTTTTTTTCTCTTCTGCAGTGTACTATTTTCGAGACGGCTATTTCAGTATTCTATAAATTTTTTCTGCTCGATTTAATATGCAAATCGATCTGTTTTTAAAATTTTTTTTTCTTTTGGAACTTCTTCCCTTTGTTATTATTTCTATATCATTCATTCTCGTACATCGCGCTTATAGTAGATACAAAAGACCCAAGAAATGCACTTGGGTTCAATCCACACAGTGCAGAACTTAGGTCTGCAATGTATTCGTGATTTCTCGATGTACCGTTACCAAATCTTGTATGTAGCCAGCTAATCTGGCGTTTAACGTATCCAAATTTTGTTTTTGAACCTTATTTGCACTCAGAGCAAGTTCTAATTGTTCATGAACTACATTCAACATCTCGCGAAGTTCTGCGTTTTCCTTTTGCAAAGCCTTGAGAAACAAGAAATTAAACGTGTAAATGCTTGATATCTAATTTATGATATGCTGCATGTTCACAAAGCATCATCAAATGTATTAAGGGGGGAAAAAAGAGAAAGAAACAATATTCAATACATACCACAAAATCTTTGTTTGTCTTAGTGGCCATAGTGAGAGCTTTAATTTCTTCATTTCGCGTTCTCAGCTCACTCTCTAATGCCTCAACTCTCAATCTTAAAGCCTCAGCATTGCCTTCCGCAATCTTTCCAGCCTCTAAGTCAGCGTATTTTGCTTTAATTTTGGCATTTTCCTCTTTGTACAATTGTAGCTGCCTCTTCCACTCGTCAACATTAGCTGTGGATTCTTGCAACGCACTTGTTAATCTCGCATTGTTGGTTTTAAGTGTGGTCAGTTCTACCTATAAGATATCAATTACTTCACTGCACGCACATCCACCATTTTTACCATTTGCAATAATTAAAAAAAAAAAAAACAAACAAAAACACTAAAAAAAAATCATACCTCCCACTTTTTTGCATTAGCGGAACTCTGAGCTAGAGCAAGTTTCAGCCTGTCGTTCTCATACTTAAGTTGCACCTCAGCCGACTGTCCACTTTGCGTAGAACTCAATTGCGCTGATTTTCCTTGATGTTGTGGACTTTCTGTACTCTGCTGAGAAACACTCTGTGATCTTGAATGGACTGCGTTTTTCAATTCGTCGTCCACTTTATTTTGACAACTACCAGGTAAAGGACTGCTGCTTACCGAAGATACATTGTTCTGAGCGGAAATCATATTGGCGTTCGGGTTTGGGTTGTTCGACGCCGACACATTGGAGTTGATCATCGAGGAGTTGGGTGGATCTATAAGGTCTTGCTCTGACGATGTCATGCCCGATCGAGACGTGATTGGACTGACATTTGCGCTTGTAGCTGGCGTTGCCGAAGTACTGTTTGACTGTAACTTAGCGCTGGCCAGTTTGGTGGCTTCTTTAACCTCATGAAATTTGTCGATAAACTATATTAAAATAAACAATATAATTTTCCTCTGAGAGCATGATATATATATATATATAAAGCTTACTGTTTTGTGATTTTTAAACAAAAGCACAAATGTAAACACAAACCTTTCCTAATTCAGCCTCAGACGCAAAACCTAAACCGTATACTGTGTTCGCCCTGACATCCGACCACTGGCCAAATTTCTGTGATGTTTTGGTAAAAGTCATGTTTGGAGTAACTGTGCTATTTATGACAGCCTGAAAGAAAAATATTTAGAGAAATATTTTAGAGAAAAAACAAATTTTTAATCAATTATTACACAGATTTTTATCTTCATTTCTTCATATTGCTATATATCAAATATTGCTCTTTTAGTTACCTTTGCTCCTTCGACTGAAATTATTCTATATAGACTTCTGGTGGAATCGTAGAAGAATGATACAGATATTGCTGCTGACGATGCCGGCACCCAAGACCTCTTGGTCTTGGGATCGATGTGAAAAACATGTGCTTTGCACGTGAAGATTGGTTGCTCACTGTAATTTTTTAATTCAAACGACAAATAGAAAATACATACGCTTATTTTATAATTTATTATTTTACGACACACAGAGTATCTCTATTTTATTTATCATCTTCTCTCGAAAGAATTATATATTTAAAAATATATACACGTTATAAAAATATCATACATATAAATAGATAATAGATCCTGAAGAAAAAAAGAATACATTTTTTTCCGAGTATATTTAACATCAACTTTGCACAACAGTGTGTGTGTTAAATAAATAGATTTTTAATTAAACGTTAATAAAACATACAGTGCTTTTGTATCGCACAATTATGTATCAAATATATAAAACCAAGTGCGTGAAAATTGAAAAAATTATTCGAACGTGCGTTTCTTTGTTCAACAAATTCCGCACGAGCTAATTTTGAATCTTTTCTGTTGGTTTTTGTAATAAAACAGAAAAAAACACCGCAAGATATATCGAACGAGTTTCATTAGGCGACGAAGTTGCGAAGATTATTTCGCGGAAAAGAGGCGAGATTAATTCTGAATCACGTTATTCTCGTAACGCGTTCCGCATCAGAGGTGTCACCGCTGAGATCGTGAAAAAAAAACGAGGAAAAAAATACGCAGAGGAACGCGGCATCGCGTGTTGAAACAAGGGGGGGCCATTGCCTTCCGCGGTTTAAATTGCGGTCCGGGTTTTTAATGCGCGATGAGGGGCCGGGGTGATGAACAACGATTAAGAACAATTCGTCGAGCGTTACACGCACACGCGCGCAAACGGCAAATTAGAGAGACGTGATCTCGTCGCCTTATATACGTGCACGCATTACACACCCTTAAAAGGACTCCGGGATAGAGCAGTCCCGCGACCCGGGGATCATCACACTTACCCCATTGTTTCCTTTCCCGATGTCATATAAGAGGCTATTCGTGAGTCAGCGCGGTCTCATTAATGTTCTCTAACGCGCATTCAATGTGAACGCGCGGCGGCTATTTTCAGATCGGAGCGGGCGAGATTTTTCGAGAAACGGCCGAGAACCGTCCGAGCGAGGCGAGCGATCCGCCAGTTGACAGCCGCCATTGGCCGAAACTGTCTGTGGTGTCTATAGCGCGCGGCCGACGATCACGCAACGGCGACGAACGCAAGTCGAAACTACTGCTCCGCGCGCCACGGTCCGACGGTATTTAATCGATTTTCCGCGAAAGGCACTGCCATTCGTCGTTTGTAACCTTAGCGCGAATCTCGCGAACCACCTCCTCTCTCCGAAGGAAACGTCCGATTCGCGAACGAGCGAATCTTCTCGTCGCTGCTTAAAAAACCAGCCAAGCGGCGAAAAGTCACATCGCACGCGGTATGTAATCGCAGATTCGCGACGACGAACACGCACACGGAAGATCCGTAATTTCGCGTTCGAGGAGCGCGAGCTTCTGTTTCCGGAACGCTCGTCGTGCGTGCCCCGCGTTCCCGCGTTGATTGCCAGCCCGGAGAAACAGCGTGTAAATTTAAACAGTCTGTGAAAACAAACTCGCAAGCCGACAAAACGAGAAAACTAAATCGAAAAATGTTCGTTTTGCGAGACGAAGTATCTTCGACGAGAGGTAGAGCGGTTCGTGTGAACCGGACCGATCAGATTTGAATATCCCACTCGAAACTCCACCCTGTGCGCGCCGGCCAATGGGAAACCTGGCGACGCCCAATGTCGAGAAGTTGCGAAATTATTTTTCCCGCCGAGGTCGCTCGTGCGCGTGCTCGATCGACGATCCAATCGCGCTCGACAAATCGACCGATGCGATTGGATAGTCGCGGGATTCTGGCGCGATTGGTTTGCGAACGTCGCGCACGAACGATGTGTACAGTGCGGTGCGTTAACGTCTTCCAAAGTTCTAAACAATTGCAACGTATTGTCGCAACGACGACCTTACATCCGCGAATGACATTTCTTATTCCAAAATAAGTTTCGTTTTTTTTTAATATCTCATTAAGGACATTTGTTTCGATCAACCAAACCACACAATTGCGCCGAACAAATTGTTTCTCTCACATTTACATAACAATTTTATTTAATCTATACACAAAAGTAATTTAATAAATGTGGATTATATTTTTTTAATTATATAAAATTTGTTTTTTTGAAATTTTAATATAGAAATTTTAACATGGAATAATAATTATCATGCGCAACAATTTTTCAATTGGATACTAATTATCATGGATTGCTCTTCGGTGTTTTCCAGACTCTGGCGAAAGAGTTGAGCGTGCTGCCAGGCGTCTTTGCCTCGCCCGCCGGACAACGTTACGATCACATTTAATCTCACCGCGTCTTTCACGTCTTCCGTACGAAAATTGCCGCAATTGGGAACGGGTATCACAATCGCTTTATTGTCGTTAAAAACAGCCTCGATTTCCGAGGACACGCTAGCTCCGTGAAACACTTCGGACTTAGCCGTCAAACTGAACGTCTTCAAACGCAAATTCGAATCGGCGACATCGAACGTCCATTTGATACGTCCGGATTTCGCATGCGGAGACCGCGCCAAGTAAACCATCTTCCAGTCGTTCTCCACTTTGCGAAAGATCTCTCCCTCCACGGTATTTACTCTCTCCAGCCATCCGGATTTTTCTTCCAAGATATCGGCGTTACTTACCACCTGGTACGTGTCTTTAACGATATTATATCGCAGTTCGAAAGTTTGTCCGTACTTGGAAACGTTCCAAACGTGATTTTTACTCACGTTGGTCTGAAAAAAAAAAAAGATCAAAATTTTCACCGACCGAACAGAAAAACCTTTTCAACAAAAAACACAAGATTGATAGTAGAATAAGAAAAACGCTTAATATGGAGATATTTAATGTTTCTCAGTCTACTTTGAAACAAATATGTTCGCGCACCTGCGAAATTTCATTTCGCGCTAATCTCCACGCGAGAGAACCGGACAATCTCCCTTCGTAGTTTTCATCGGAATCTTCGTTCCGCGAATTCGGAATGTACAACATCTCGGCTAGCTCCAGCAAATTCCGTTTGACAACGTATTCTTTGCGCGCGCGGCTATAGCCGATAGAGTTTTGCCGCTGGTTGCTCAACGTTCGCAGCAAGTGTATCAAATTCTGTTCGGCGCAGATTGTTCGTCGCTTCATTACAGTTTTTTGATCGCTCGTATAACGCCAAGTAACGTCCTGAACCTCATCCTTGGAAAAAGCTAATATATATGACAACTTCTTTTTCCATCCTTTTTCGTACATCAGTGGCTTGTCCATTACGTCTTCGCACGAATCTACGTGAATCCATCTCTTGTTCGACACCGACCACACCTAAGTGTAACACAAGAGGAAAAGATAATTCATTTAGAAAATAGAATAAAACCTGATGCAAAACGCGACAAAAAATTGTAATAAAACTCAAATAAAAACATAGCGGTAGACAAAGGTCTGGTACATGTATAGTTTAAGAAAGTAATACGTGACATCTAGATTTCTCGTGGGATATTTTTTAAATAATCGAAAGATAAACTTTGACACGCGTACCTCCGTCCACACGTGATCCGTCTGATCCCATATAAACCGTGCGTCGTAATTTAACGATCGACAAAATAACGTAAACACAGTAGCCCATTCGCCGCAACGACCGCGTTGCAGCGTCAGCAATGGTTCTGGATGCGTATACCGTGGAAATTCGATAACTACGTCGCACTTTGTGCATCTAAGATTGAATTAACATCATTGGGGTATATATTAATTAGTATTATATATATATTTATTATATATTTATTATATATGGTATATATATTATATATATTATATATTATATATATTATATATGTATATTTTTATTTATTAGTATTATATATATTAATTAGTTGCTATTTTTGGTAATGATAAATCCTGTTGTAAGTTTATGCGATGAAAATTTTACCTATAAATTTCTATTCTTGAGCAACGAGGATCTGCAGATGGCTCTTCCGAGTCATATTCAGATTCGGTAGAACATATTGAACACAGTGGACTGTTGACCCATTTAAAAAAGTCACACTTGAACCAGTGCAGCAGCTCCAACAAAAACAAATCTTTCATGATCAAATCTGTTTCAAGTTGCAAGGAATCAGACTTTGTTGTTGCGTCATTTAGTTTCAAAGATCTGCAAGAGATACAAACTAAGAGTTAAAATACTTAAACTAAAATTTAATATAAAGTAAAAACAAAATTATATTAAAAAAAAAAAAAAAATCTCTTAGAAAGACATAAAAATTTCTTTACTTTTGCACTTCTCTCAGTTTTGTCATTGCTGCAATTTCTAACTTTGCAATAGGTATAAAACTTCTAGCCTTTCTCTGTAAGTTTGGGTCTTCGTAATGCAAAATGTCATTGAAGTGCCAAATAATGTTTTTAAAAAATGTATTTTGCGTTAACGGTCTTCTATGAGTTATGTTTTCGATCACAGAATTGTTCCCCGATCCGGACAACAACTTGGACAAGGTCTTAAGTCTCGAGAGAGATGCATTGTGCGGTAGGAATATGCGTTCTCCTGTTACATCCTATCACATACGTTAGCTGAGTAATGAATTTTCCAACACTATATTGCGGCATTTAAATAGTTCATTTATGGTACATCATTGTTTTAATTTTAATTAATAAATGATATTGAAAAAAAAAAAAAAACCAATAAGAGATTTAAAAAAATACTTGTTAGAATACAAACTTCAGTGTAACCAATGTCGAATAAACACTCCATAGCACCAACGGCCGGCAGAAGCTTTTCAACAACGACGTGATCGTCGAGACGCAACTCGCGAGATTTATCATCATTTGGCGATCTCAGTAAATTGTTACAAATGTCCAACAATGCTGTTCGCGCCTCGTCGCGCACACTGTTCTCGTTCTCGTTCTCCAGAGACTTCACGCAACGTCTCAGACTCTCGCCCATGTTTCAAATTACAAAATGTTTAACGCAAAGTTGCGGGACGACACGCGACTCATCTGTTTGCGATCACCGACAGGTGCTTGCAAATTGCACTTGTCATTGTTCCGCTTTCCACAGATAAATAGATAGTTTGACGTTAAACACCCACTGGTTCCGTTGTTACTGGCAGTACTGAAAATTTATAGGTTCACGTGACGTATCCTATAGATTTTTCAATACTGCCTATAGTAATAACGGAACAGGGTCCAGTAAAACTTTCTTGGATAACACGACTGGAACAATACGACGAATTCGATTGGATGCACCGAGTGCGTCTTCTTTCAATGTGTATTTGGTAAAATATTTTCAGTGTGTTGGTATTTTACCACGCACTGAAAGAGGACGCGCTCAGGTGCATTTAATTCGAATTCGTTAATGTGATTGGTCAATTACGCTGTTTTTAGATCTTCATACCTGTACCTACACTAGGTTCAACGAGAGAACAGGACACCCATGGACAAAAATATACGTCCGTTCTGCGCATCTCTCCTATCAGAAATCCCCCCGATCCGCAGTGCTGCATCGCTCGTGCAATCTTCACCCTTATGTAAACGTTTCGATTTACATTTTGATTACGTTTAATTACTTGATTACACATTTACTACATTTATCAATACAATTACATTACAAAGTTATAAATATAGCTCAGTAAATAAATAAATAGATAAGATAAACCCCGATGAGCCAAAAGTCCATGGATGGTGATGGAATAAGACAATGATTTATATGTAGTGTATATCAGACGTTTCGATCAGTGTATATTTATGATCATCCTCAGCAACTGTGTATATAAATTTTACAGAATAATAGAAATCACCGTTATAACAGAGACACGCGACAATGAAAAAACTTGATAATACATTAAAATAAAAAATCATTTTATTTACCGAAATCCAAATTCGGGCCTGAACGTGCTGTTAAAGGTAGCGGCGAGGGCGGTATCCTCCACTTTGACCGCTTTTCCTCCCCCTATGCGCGAGTAGTGTTCTATTCTCTCAATGAACCGATTTATATGCAGTTCAAAATTTTTGGTAACTTTTATTTTGACCGACTTCTTGAGAATCGTGTATACACGGCTTAAATGTTTCCAACAAGGGTATGTTCCAAAATCCTACTTTGGTTACCAAAAACTATAGTACACGTGACGTGAAATATAGCATTTTAGTAACCAAGGTAGGATTTTGGAACGTACCCCAGGGGGCGTCAGTCAGAAGCGCGAATCCGATTGGCAAATCCGGAAACGTGTTCGAGTTGTAAAACCGCAACGGTATTTGTCAATCTCTGGACTCTCCGTGTTCCGATTTCGATATTCTGTATTTGGTATTAAAAATCTATACTTCGCGTCGCATGTATTATAGATTTGCCAATTTCGTTGCAACTTTGAATATCGGAACGCAACCTTTGCGTCAGAGGTTTCTTTCTGCTGATTAGTTGTAAAGCCGGTACAGGAGTAAAATTCTACGACAAATCTTGTATAAAGTCAAAACAAATCTCAGCGCGTTATATATATATAGTATATATATATATCGCGGTTTTCTCTAATTTTATTAATTTTTCCGATTTAAAAAAGACAAAAAATTCCAATGAGTACACAAGCTTCGTCCGTAAAAATAAAGGAGTTACGATTGCCGATATCAAGAGTGAAGACAATAATGAAAAGTTCTCCGTGTGTGGAAACTATCGGACAGGACGGTTTATATTTGGTCACAAAAGCTACGGTAAAGAACACGTTAACGTGATTTACAGAAGGGTTAAGAGATTTGTGTGACAACTTCTCACAAAGAGTGAAAATTAGTTTTTGGCGGGTCGCACGATTTTTGTCACTTCCGATGTCTAGCTTTGTCTGTGTGTTTGCAGGAACTGTTTATACATTATCTGACAGAAGAGGCTCACATGCAAAATCAGAAAGGATCCGCTCTTGATTACAAACACCTGGCCGAGGTTGTGCAGACCACCGAGACACTGGAATTTCTTCGCGAGATAATGCCTCGCAAGATTACAGTTAGACAATTTAAGGAGATGATGGCTGCCAAAAATGCATCCAGTAGCTCTTCCGGCAGTTCGGATTCGGACAGCGACAGTGATTCGGATACGGACAGTTGTTCGGACAGTGACGACACCAAAGGAGAAAATGAAAATTCGTCATCCGGCAGCGAAGAGGAAGAAAGCGGGACTAAACAGAACGGTCATTCGATGAGTGACAAAAGTGAAAACAGTACAAAAAGTGACAGTGAAGATGATTCCAAGAGATAAACATATGTTGCTCTCTATTTTGATACACATATTTAGATTACAGAGAAGTTATCTAGCTGGGTCGGCTGATAAATTCTTGGTTTTACACATTTTTCATACAAATTATATATAGATCTGTTTATGTGCGTGTACATGTAGGTGTGCGTTATAAAAGTTAAACATCAGATCATTGCCATCTTAAGCAGAGATGTAAAAGAATTACGATTAGTAATAATTTTCACAAAAAGTTTTGTAAAAAGACTAATGGGGAAGATCATTTAAAATTTAAGAATAAACTATTTTTTATACACTTGCATCCAACGAATGGTTCAGCACTAAGCAGTTACAATAAGCATGACGTGTGCTTTTGTCCTCACATATAGCCTTCATACCACATATATTTTTGTAAATAGTGTGTATCTTGTATCATACATCTAGTTGTATCGCCATATAAATTACTATTTCTTATATTAAAGAATCATTGTATTTATTTATAATAAATATATATTATATAAATATTCTCTTTGAAAACGATTTCAGACACTACACATGTACATTGCTGACAGAAGAAACAACCAACTCAACTAACTTACCCAAATAAATTGTTGTATAAATAAATACATATGTTTGAGGTAAGTGAACAAACAAAAGTAACCCTAATCTTGATGCGACTTCTTTGTCAGGGATGTGGAAGGGGATGTGTCAAAGCCGTTTTCGTTCAACTTCAGAGCTAGAAAATAGATCTCGGCTAAAGCGATGATCAGCGAGAACATTATTCCCAGAAGCAATCTGAATCCAAAGTCTAAATTTCCAACTATAAGTTCTATTCCGATGAATCCGAAAGCAAAACCAGCCGCCACAGAGAATACAAATTGGGCAATGGCGATCAGCTGTTTATTTATCTGCTTCACTGCAAAATAAAATTATAAAGGAATAGTTTTTACATGTGCGTTCATATGACGTGTGAATAGAGATATTGTATACAAATATTTTTACTTTGGTAAGCGATACTATCTTCCGGATGATACTTTCGTATAGAATCGACACTCTTTGTCATCGCCTGATACTCTCTGTCATTTTGCTGTGCCGTTAATTTCTGTATTCTAGCTTCTAGCTCTGGATTGCGCGGCGTCTCCCTTGGTGTTGGTAATATCACCTCAGAATCGTCAAACAGGTCCTGAAAATAGATCTTCTCCCGCTTGGTTCTTCTGTATTCACTTAAATAATGTATCAACCACCTGAAATCTTCGATTGTCAACGTTGCATTTGCAATCTTCTCTTTTTTAGATTTCTTTGATTCGCATAGAAATACGATACCACTTGGAGCATCGTCAACATTTTTTATGTTTAAGATGAAATTTACTAATTTGACAGACGGTATTACTCTTATGGTAGGATCCACAATTGATTCCAATGGCATATTTGTGCCGTTAATTTTATATATGTACTTTTGTAATTGCTTCACAGAGAAATCAGGTATACTAAACTTATTTATATGAAATACTAAAGCTCTAAGAAAAATTATATAAAATGCAAAGATGAAAAACGTTTTATGGAGAAATATGTAATTTTTTTTCCAGATCAATATAAAACTCTTGTATCTCGTTTTCCTTCTCCTGGAATGTTTGATCCACTTTCTGACATTTGTCGCTCATATCATTGATGAACTTTTCCCATTCTCTTTTTCTGATCAATCTGTTTTCTCTCAAAATACTATCCTGCAAAATCAATGCGCACTTCGTATTATTAAGTTATTCTATAATATATCTCGAGAAAAAAAACAATATAAAATAAAAACCAATTAGCATTTAATATGTAATAATACATACACTATCAAAATTCTCTTCTCTCTGTAAAACACGATTGCACATACTCAGTGCAACGTCCACATTTGCTTTAAGACTAGGCAGATGACAGTCGCCAAGTTGCTCAGTACGATCCAGTTGACTTTCTTTCAACTCAGTAGAATATTCAAGTATTTTGAAAAGACGCTCCACTTCTCTATCAGCTCTTTTGTCCTAAGAAATGAGAGTGAATACAAATTTTTCAATGAAATCTTGAGCGGTTTAATTTTTTTAAACATAAAAAAGTTTATGCAAAAACCAATTATTAACATAAAATATATTAGGTTGGTATGAAAATAAATTGTGATTTTTAACAAAGTTTAAAATCCGCAGTTATTTTTGTATTAATCTAGTATATTGTATATGTAAACAGAGATTTATTAAACAGGAGAACATCAAGCAATAATAATCACTTGTCTATGTCAACAAGCTTATAATAATGGTTTTGGTTTAGTGCTCTTTTGGCTCAGTGGACCTATAAAGCTAGTCCATACGCCATTCTATGTCTTTTTGATAACAGGTTTAAAACCGATGGATTGGGTTCCTGACGCCAAGCCACGGAGTTGTATATTTGTTTAAATTAAAGATAATAATAAAGAAAGTGGTGTAAAACACCGAATTGTCCAAAAATATTCGCAGCACATCCAACCGATACGGCTGATACGATCCAACTTTAAGCTTATAATAATCACGGTCCTCTCTCAGGGCACGCGAATAGGTTTATGTTTGCATAACTAAACCCATTATAATTGAACATCCAATCAAATCTGATTAATCTATGTACATTATTGCACTGATGATATGTCGCTACTGTGATGCTTTCGCGAAGAGATTCACCTGGAATTCCCGCAAAAAGAACGTGACTTCTCCTTGCACAAACGGACGATGGTCGAACAATCTGCTCCAGATCTCGCCCGTGTCTACGAAAACACGTGATCGCGTACGATATAATTAATACAATACTTAAACAATAAGATGTTCACCTATCGGATAACTTTTACGCTTTATGGTATATTACGCGGTTTGTGTGATCATCGCACCTTTGATTACAGACGCCATAGTGTCAGTGAAAACACCCAGTCCATCGTCAGACGGCAACTCGCCTTTTAAGCCTATGTACACACTACGGATCTTAGGATTGAGATTGGATTGCAATTTGGCCAATCAGAGCGAAGATCACTAAAATTAGAATTAGTGATCTTTCTTCTGATTGGTCAAATTTCAATCCAATCTCAATTCCAATCCGTAGAGTGACACAAGCTTTACTGTCACATGACTGTTGCACATGACTATGGACACACGCGGCATTGCTCTACCGATCATTGTCGCGTCGGTATCACAAACCAAGATATTCAAGGTGATGAATCAATATCAGTGAAAAAAAAAAAAAAAAACAGTAAAAACTACGCAAAACTGTTTTATAATAATAAAAAAAAAATAGCACAAAACTCCTTGTTTACATGTATACATTATATATATCTATGTATATACATGTGAGTAAATTTACAGATTATATTGTCACTCCCTACGTAAAATTACATAAGTGTCACATACGGGATTTTTAGTTTATTGCATAGTGACACTTAGAAAGTCATGTTCTTTATGATACCAAATCCTATATTAAAAAAGGCATTTGGACCGAGAAGTGCGCGTTTGGAGTCGAATCTGTTGCATCTTTTGTTGCCTCTTTTCGTTGTCGATTGGTTGGTTGATCGAATCGAATCGAATTATATTATATATAACATTAAATAATACATATTATACATATAATTTATTATATATTTATAATATTATACTTTATATTGTATTATATGTATTATATACATACTGCAGTAATGTCACTGACCTCGGCCGCGCGGCCTTGGCGGGATCACCAACCTCAGCCGCGCGGCCTTGGCGGCAGAGATGCCAGTTCGTGGACTTAGTAAGCATTCAGCATCAAGTGGAGGGGATACGCACACAGGCGACAACCGTGTCCGTGTGCGCTCGGCGCTTCGGCCAATGGTTGGCCAACCACACGGACACGGCTGTCGCCTGTGTGCGTATCCCCTCCACTTGATGCTGAATGCTTACTAAGTCCACGAACTGGCATCTCTGCTTGGCGGGGCACTGACTTCGGCCGCGCGGCCTTGGTGGGGGCGGGGTCACTGACCGCGTGCGCGCGGCCTTGGTGGGGGCGGGGTCACTGACCGCGTGCGCGCGGCCTTGGTGGGGAGGGTCACTGACCTCGGTCGCGCGACTGCGGTGGAGTCACTGACCTTCGGTCACGTGATTACGGTATATATATATATACACATATATGCGTATGTGTGTGTATTAAATATAGATATAGAATATTACATTTAATATGTATAATATTCTTTTTTTTAACCTTTTCCCTGTCACGTGATTTTAGTCACTTGTTGTTCTTCCACTTCTCTTTCTCACTATTTTTTGAGTTTGATTTTCATGCGTTATTTCTGACATTTCTCATATGTGTATTATATGGTTTATAAGACGTATATACTATCTGTCATCGCGGTGACAGATTGTGTTCACTGACAACACGTTAAATAAAAATAACAATAGCGTGCGCCTGTGTTGTGCTATGCTATGTTAAAAAAAAAAATATTCATAAGTAACTAGATAAACTATATAAAGCTTTAAACTTTTAAACTGCTCTCCTCTAAAATTTGCGTTTTGGAGTTACGGGATTACACGTAGTAGGGAGTGATGATATATTTACAGATTGTTTCGGTTGCTATAATTTTATATTTTTGAAGAGACAAAAAAACAATGGTACATATAAATTGTATATGTAAAATTGCAGATAATTGCGAAGCAATAATTAACAATTGTACGCAAATAATATTTATTGCACGTAAATATATTTTTTTTCAACAAGTTCTCTTATTATATTTGCTCTATGAAGTTACGATTTGTAAAATAATCCGCTGAGAAATCCTATTGTTGGATTTTCTCTCAGACGTGTTTCTTTCTAAAAAAAAAAAACCACGCGCTCTTGAAACGTGTGCGCGCAAGAAAATTACGTACATACGATGTTTTGTAAAACTCGTCGTAAATAAAGAGTCGAGTAACACACGAGGAGATCGATAAAATGCCAAAACAAGACGTGTGTCACATGTACCTGTTTAATGGCGTTCGAGTTAATGGGAATTTTGCGTATATTTTTCGCCGGAGCTCTCCTGTACCTGTATGTGTTTATACACACGTATACATACGCAAAAACGTTACATGTTCCCCGCGCGGCGCGATCGCTCACAAGTCCGGCGTATTCTCGGGTTACATCGCGACGGTGCGATTATCTCTGTGGGAACGCGCCTGTACATAACGCGGACGTACATATCGACGGAAAATTCGAGCCGCAGCTCGAAGAGGATGCCGCGATTAACAATAGCCGTCATGTGATTACGCGTGCATTCCTCCCTATGTGCGTTTAGGGAGGGAGGAGGGGGAAGGGCGGATGATTATGGGGATGGAGCTATACATATATGTCGCGCGTTCAGCTCGATCGTTCGCAATAATCACCGTAAAGCTTCACGCGTGACGATTTAAACGTGACAGATACGCGAGGTGCAAATTGCGAACGATAATGGAAAGAGCGCTGCGTTTCTTTGTTCTGATTCATTTGGCGATGCTGCCCCTTACAATGTAAGATTGTGATATTAGATGATAATAATGTGTCGATATTTTTTGCAATCGCGATTTACGCGGAGGAGCGAGCGGTTCGATTAATTTTTAACAAACGCTGCTTGTTGTTCTAAGTTGTTTGAAAAAAAAAAAAAAAAAGAACAAGTATATCGGGTAAGAATAAAACAGAAAAGATTGACGAAAATTATTGCAAAGTGTTGATGCGCGCGCGCGCGCGTTCAGTTTTCTTCTGAATTGTTAATTGCAATTAGAATAATTCGAGTATTTCTCTCGTAATGACTTTAATTGGCACTTCTCAGCAAGAGCTCTTTTGCCGGCTGCTGTCGTAACTTTGCATTTAAAAAAGCATTTTGCACTGTTCAAGGCAAGAAATTGCAGAGGGTGCGTGTAGCTGCGCGGTGTTCGCTGTTCCGGGATTGGAACCGTTAATTGAACACAGGCTTCGGTACAATGTAAGATGCGATCAGGATGGAACCGAAAAATGTCAACAATTGTGTATCGCACTGGCAAGTAGTTAATTAATTTTTGCACATTTTTATTTTCCCACCGCGCCACTTGTTCACCGTCTGTCTTTACATAATTCACATGACATCAGGCTGAGGGTGTTCGAGATGAAGCACCGATGCTGATTTGCGAGAAACTGAACACGCACGTCGAAAAATTAAAGGTGAGCGAAGAATATAATATCAAAAAAAATATATAACAAAATAAACAATATAATAAAAAATTTTTAATAATATTCCGCACTCCTCCAGCGCTTGACCTCTCTTATTGGCTCTAGTACATATTAATTCTCTTATTGACAGAGTTCAAAGAATACAACACTCAGTTGCATAAATTTGATAAATAATATCTGATTTTATCGATTTGCGATATAAACAATTTATTAATTTGTTAACATGTGCGCGAGATTGTTCTCGTTTAAAAATCCAGAGTTGAAAAGAAACGCTTGTCAATATTTTTTTCTTCGAATAAATTTCATTATTTATTACATAGTTTCCTCCCGTCATCTCTCTGTCGGTTTTTTATTTCTATTTTTAGGTAGCTGTTTACATGAAATCGTGTGATGTGACTTTTTGGACGTTCACCGGTTTGGAGAGCACGGAACCCATTTGCTGTCACGAAGGCAAGGCGGTTGCTTGTGACGAAGCGTTGTCGATAATAGAGAATTAACGAGCTGAATCTAATTCATTACTTCTCGTTCATTTCCGTCACTAAATATCGTAATATCGATCGTAATAGCGAAGATAGTTAGCGAGATTAATACACTCTTTGTTTTTTTTTTATATACAAACACATTATTTTTCTTTCAAATGTCATTTGTCGCGCAGATATATATTTTGCGATTGACGATTTTTGATCGAATTCACGCATAGCAAATTCTGTACAAGCGATCGCACGTACAACGATCGCGTAAAATATACAATGCAACACAACAATAACAAGTCTGTTGAACTTACGTAGAATTCAAAGAATGCACGCCGATATGCATTTATAGCCTTTGTTAGCCTTCACAAAGCTCGAATGCCAAGGCTGTCAAGAAGTCTATTCTTTATTGTAGTCTGTATACACACACACACACACACACGCACACACACACAGAGAGAGACATAGACACACAAATGATATAAAGTTTGAGTTTAAGATAATTTTCTATATAAATTTAAAAAGTGTTATTAAGAGGTTCCGCGCGAACTTAAATATAAATTTAAAAGTTATAAAGAAAGTTTAAAAAAATCCCATTATCTCTGAAACTCTTGTAATAAGATATATGTGTATATTTTTTCTTCTCTATAATGTGGTGCAGTCTATTTTTAGTCTCTTTTCTCATCTCTCTCTTTTAAATTGACAATTTTTGTTCTATTCGATACTCTTTTTATCCATTACAGAGAGAAGTCCAAATAGAATTAATAGAACATCGTAAGAGAGAGAGACTTTCCGAAGATCCCAAGTCTTTTTTTCAATTCATCGGACCGCTTTATTATTTTATTATTTTATTATTTAGAAACTATATATGTACACTATAAAATATATATATTGCATATATATTTTTTTTTTCTAATTCATCGGACCGTTTTATTATTTTATTATTTTATTATTTAGAAACTATATGTGTATACTATATTGTATATATATTTTTTTTTCAATTCATCGGACCGCTTTATTATTTTATTATTTTATTATTTAGAAACTATATGTGTATACTATATTGTATATATATATTTTTTTTTCAATTCATTGGACCGCTTTATTATTTTATTATTTTATTATTTAGAAACTATATTGTATATATATATATATATAATATATATAAGAAAAGACAAAATTGTAACGGTAAATAGTATCAAGAACGTCCGTTCGCGAAACGCAGCAATCTGTTCTTTGTGCATTCCGCAATATTACGGGACCAAGTCCCGATTATCGATAGAGATTTGACCTGTACGCTCTGGCGTATCTAAAAGTCAATGCTCGCTCGGCAAGAAGAAGCTTGAAAGCATTAAACGCTATTCGTTCGCCGACCGAATCTCCTTTCACAAAGCACAGAAATACAACTGGCTATTGTGCAGGGGAATGTATCGTCGAATATGCGAATTTTGTGCGCGCGCGCGCGCTCGTCTTTCTATGGCATTTGCAGTAAAAAAAAAATGTCTCAAGAGAACACGGAAACCTTTATTTAATCAAGTTCTCCTTAACGAGAACAAATCCTTCTTTCAATCAAGTCAAGGTCATTATTTTTTAACGGCGAATTAAGCTTTAAATTCGAAAATCGGAAACGTGCGAAATGTGTGCGCGGGGGTGCGTATAGACAATGGGTCTCGACGACGTTCGGTCTTTGCCGAAGCAAGATTGACTCTGCAAACTTGCCGAGCAGCAATTCAACGCCGCTACAGATTCTCACGTTTCCACGGATCTCACCCAGTATACGTCAAACCGTAGATCCTCGCCCCGCCGTCCAAGTATATGAACGTGGGTGTGAGTCCATTCCACCTCGACTCGAGATATACCCTCTATTTCGATGATGGTGTTCTCAGAGTCTTGTCCCAGAAGCCGCCGCATTGAATGGACGGTTTGTTATCGCCTTTCCCTTCTCTCTGACTTCTCGGGGACGAGTCCTCCGTCGAACTCTCTGACGCATTTCTCTTTCCCTCTCCTCCTCTCTCTCTCTCTCTCTCTCTCTCTCTCTTTTTCTCTGGATATATAGAATCTGCCAGGCGCGCAGCAGACCATTGTGCAACTGAGGTTTTGTCGTTCTTTCTTCGGCCGATTTTAATGACCACGCCATTTTCGAGAAGCTGAGTCGCGCACACCGATTCCGGGATCGTCGACACGAGAGCTCTTTTTCTTTATCACGCGAGAAACCAAATGAAACGTTTGTAGAAAAACGTTTGTTTTCCTCTGTCGCATGAAATATCTTCTTTTTTTTTTCAGAGTATTTTGGAAATATATTGAATCTTCTTTGAATGTCTTTGAAAAATATTTTCATAATAATGACTCGCGCGTTTTAAATAAAAAATCGATCGCGATTCATCGTCGTGAAATTCAGAATTTATTCAATGTCTCTCTTTTTGCTTTACGCCCACATATCGAGAGAGCGAACCGCTTTTGACACAATTAAACGAAACGGAAATTGAGGTAACTAATTGCGGGTTTCCGGTTCAGTCTCTTCGCCACAAGGTATTACACACCCACGCACCATCACGCGCGCGCCCACTAACCCTCCCGGTATGTTGGGATCGCTTCGATTAAATCCTCGTTTCCCTTTCCACGTGTTGTTCCACGTCATGTGTCACGCACCGTGAATTGTAAAGGACCGACCGATCGGTTCGGTGTCTTCGTTTGTTACCGTTGTCATTGCGACAGAGGATAGGATGTGAGTTACTCGCGATCGGACAATCGGACGTATGGGGGCCTATACGTATATATATATATATCTGCTGATTTATCTCGCGCGAATACGAAGCTGTGACTAATGCGAGGCCATCAATTCTCGGAGACGAGCAGCAAGATTCCTTTGAATATCTAACTTTGCGGCAATTTTTGTCGCAACATATCTGGATGGATATTATCGAGGAAAAATAGTTTTCGCGACGAGAAATAATATATACGGATGAACGGATTGAGTAACAATTGATAAAAATAAAATTTTGAATCTTAATACTTAACAAGAATTGTTGCGAGAATTGTTTTTTCTAACACAGAGATTATAAAACGAAGTCGCTGTTTGAAACGCACGCGATATGTCGAGCCATTAATTCGAAGTCACTAACAGAACCGGATGTAATGGATGCTTTCGGACGGAAAAAGCGATCAAAATAATGCGCGAGTGGGTCAAGATGAAGTGCGAGCGCCGAGAAGAAAAAGAGATAAATTAAATTTACACTCACAAAGAAAAAATAATATTTTAAAAGACGAATCTGTAATTATATTATATTATTAGAAATTAGCAATTTGCTTAAATAATTATATTAACGCTCGGCGATAGGATGTGTAAAACCGACCGGTGGAATAGTTCGTAAGTTGACCTATTGACCCTCAAAGCGATAAAAATTTCCAAAAACATGTGATTTACAACTTCTGCACGATTAATTAATTTTTTATTGTTACTTACATTTTTTACGTCGTATGTGTTGTAAGTAAATATCAATTACGCAATTACCGATTTCAATCCGAGATTGCACTCGAGAATTTACGTTTAACTTGCTTCTCTAAGATTTAATCAATAAGATTTTTATCAATTTCAATCTGAGATTCAATTGTTTATTTTTAACTTCGCTCTTCTTTCACGTACATATACAAAAAGCTAAAAAAAAAAGATTACCGTACGTATAAAAAAAAAGATTTGCCAAAGTAAGAAATTAATTGCTACATGACCAGTAAGAGAAAAATTTACCTGAAAGTTTTGTTTCATCAACATGACGTTTTGTTGTTGGCGCAACAACGTTTGTTTTTCTCCGCTGGCCACATAATAGCAAAACTTTTCTATCCGTGCGCAAATAAAACGATCAGAGATTTTTCCGGAGCTTCTTCGGAAGATTCTTCTCAATATGTAATTTCGGTTTTATTTGAACTAGAGGTTCTAGAGACATCTGGGACGCGCATATACATCTTCCTCGGCTAAAGGAATGTTTATGCACGTGTGTTTACCTATTAGCGACACGTCCACGGTACATTCAACAAGCTTTGTGATTGTTCTCTACTTGCACCTCCTCGCACCTTCGCACATACGTCTACGTCATCTTCGCTTAAACGAGCTTTTGCTCTAATGCGCGTTTGCCAAAACTCTCACTATTTTGACATATTTGCAACTAGCGGCGCAATCTTGTCTTAGAACGCACAACATCATACCGGAGTACAAAACAGTTCGAAACAATATCAGAATTTCCAAGACGACATAACTCACTCGAGATAAAAAAAAAAAAAAATACATAACTCACAATTCTCTTGTTTCAAGAAAAAAAGCGCGAGTTTTTTGAATATATTGCTCCGTATTATTGACGAGTTTGTACAATATAATCCAACGTTTGCGATGTTAAAATTAATAATTTTGCATCTCGAACACGTTCTGTGGTCTAGTTTATTTATTACAGCAAATGCTTTTGTAGAAGAAGAAGTCCAAACAAGAAATCGAACGTTCAAGGATAAAAACAAAGATACACCCCGTATTGATTCTCAATTGCCCTCTCACAAGAATTTGAATATGAAACTCTCAAGAGCCACGGCAACACACACAGCGGATAGATATTTTTAAAATACATTAACAAAATTATATTTTATTTGTAAGAAAATTACGTGTGCAAGTACTAACACTGTATTATCTAATTATATGATAAAACTATATATATATGTATATATATATATACATATAAAGTAGTAGCATATATCTATATTTACCAGATAAGATGTGTGTTTGCATATATTTATTGCGTGTGGTTTAAGGTCAAGAAGCATCGGGAGCGAGTTTAACAGGTCGCAAGATTTCCCGCGAGCATATTCTGATCAATACCGTGACGCTAATCGAGCGGGAAGAGAAGTAGCAAGATAGATAAGTGGGCAGACAGACGGACAGATAAAGAGGGACAGAGACGAGGGGATGGGACGAGGGGAATTTCGCGACTACAGAGGATGCCGAGCAATAGTTCGGCAGAAGCCGTGAGGCAGATAAGCACATACCTGCGAGGGTGGCTTCAACTACGAAAGAGGAGATTCCTGCTGCGCGAGCACCGTGCTCTCTACGTTTGTACAAAGCCGTAACTAAGCTGACAGTATGGAAAGTACACCCGATGCAAAGAGAGATAGATAGAGAGAGAGAGAGAGAAAGAAAGAGAGAAAACGATAATTAAGAACAAAATATGTATATAATTCGTACAATTTTAATTCCTCGAAGAGAATGTCGATAAAGCGACGTTTCTAAACGGAATTCAACTCTCGAGAAAAATTTTACATAACTATACAATAAATAAGAACCAATGATGAAATAAGAGCAATGTTCATTCGCTAAGTGTAGATAATTTTTTTTTATTATTCTTAACGGAGCTAAAACATTCAAATATTTCAAATTACAATACACATCGAGAGATTCTC